CTGCTGTGACTCGGAGCGTTCCCCATGGGGTCTCCGTCTCGGGCGCCCGGCTCTGCCGCCGCCGCCGCCTCCCCGCCACGACCTGTCAACCTCCGACGGCACCCGGCGGGCGGGGACGGGGAGGGGACGACGGCGGCGGCTGCGGCTTCCGGCTTCCACGCCGACAAGCGAGGACTGCTGTCGCAAAGGCGCCGTCAAGCGGATTTCACCAGCTGTCGTGAGACAGCCAGCCGAGGACAGCCAGATTTCCAAAAGGGTGCTTCTGTCACAACGTCTACGTCATCCCGCAGCCTCCTATGCCACCATCTTTGTTGGGGGCGGACAACCTGCCGGCCAACAGGGCCCTTCGCCGCTTACTTTCTCTGTGTCCCTCCTCGTTCACTAGCTATGCTGGACAAGTACGAAAGAGTTGGAGCCGGCCGATGAACTTTTCGTCAGACTTTTCCCTTTCAGTCCTTCTTTGCCCTCTTAGTGACAGGCGGACAACGGAGAGCGCGCGTCGCGCTGGTGACGTAGCGGCCGGTTCTCCGCCATCTTAGTAGTGGACGGAGAGGCCGCAACTTCGGGGGAACGGAGGAGGTGCGGCTGTCTAAATGCCGGTGCTCGGCGGCCGTGGGCTCTGGCTGGGCCTGGCGGCGGCAGCGGCAGCGACAGCGGTGATGGCCACACGGCTGATGGGCTGGTGGAGTCCCCGCGCTGACTTTCGCCTTTTCATACCCGAGGAGCTGGCCCGCTACCGCGGCCGCCCTGGGGACCCGGGCCTCTACTTGGCTCTGCTCGGCCGCATCTACGATGTGTCCTCTGGCCGGAAGCACTACGGGCCTGGAGCCCACTATAGCGGCTTCGCAGGTATTAGCGAGGCGGCTGACGCCTTTTCCTCCTCCAACGGGGGCTAGTAGCCGCCTGTGTTTCATTCATTCACTTACTCATTCATTCGTTTATTCGTCTGCATTTCCACCCCCCACATTCGTCAGACCAGCGTCGGGGCCAGGCTCAGCTGCATCATCCTTCTGGACTGTTTTGACTCCAGCAGGACTATGGGCAACTGTTACTGGCCTCTACCCTCCCTGTCTTTCCCCACCGCTCTTCGTTGACTTGGGTTGGAGAAACACATCTCTAGCCTCCTGTTGGTTTCTCTTTACCCGCCAGCAGAACCCCCCAGTACCTGCCTTGTGCCACACCGTGGCCCTCAGGGCACAGAGTTGAGAGAGGCCCTGACCCTGACCTCAAGAGTTCCCCTGCTGATTCGTATCATTTCTTCAATGTGTCCCTACCCGAAGTCACCTTTCTTTACCGCTACCCCAAGTTTCCCCTAAAAATAGTACATTTGGTATGAGTACAGATCTGGACTAGATGCTTCTAGTACAAATGCATTTGTCTGCCTTCTTTTAAAGTTTATCAGGTTAGAATGCAGGGAGTCTGGCCACCTTTACAGTCCTTCCAAACTTAGAACAAAGCTGTGCATATGTTAGGCCTCAGAGAACATTTAGCAAATGAGGTTTATTCTGTCCCCACTCTGCAACTGAGGGGATTGGAGGATGTGATTTGCCTAAAGCCCTCACAACCAAGTACTGACAGGACTTGAACTCGGACTACCAGCCTGTTACTTTTACCTTACCAGCCCAGAGGAATGATCATCTCCGAGATTAAAAAAGAAAAAGCAAATGATGAGCAAGCTTAAGGCCAGTGATGAAGCAGCATTAAATGGGCATTCTTTGCTTGTCATTATCACAGGGGAATTGAGAAGCTGCCTCTGGTACTTAAATTCTAGTCACTTCCCTGTCTCTAGGGAGAACTTCAGAAATAGAAGCTTTGACAGGGGAGGAATTAAGTTCCATTAGTGTTGCTGAGCCCCTCAAACAGCCCAGCAGGGGAAGGGACTTATCCGGGGCTTACACAGTGAGATAGAAGAGAGCTGGGACTGGAATCAAGGGTTTTATTTACCTGCTGGGTGAGGGCACTTTTTGGTGCACTCCCTTGCACACCCTGATATGGCTGTCATGGCTGTATGCACAAGTGTGAGCAAAAAACCCTCCATTTCCGGGGAGATTTTTCTTTTGCAATGTGCTCTACTGTTGACTGAGTTCCTTTGTGTCCGATACTCATGTGTGTCCAAGATCCAGGAGCATCTATCACAGAGGAACAGGGGTTGGCTTTGCTTTCAGGGATGGGGAATGAGGGTTTTCAGGAAATGTTTCTCAGAAAGTAGATTCTTTGGTTTGTACAGCGTTGGTGATTTACAAGTTAACTTACAGGAAACGTCTCTCCTCAGGCAGAGACGCCTCTAGAGCCTTTGTGACCGGGGACTACTCTGCAGCAGGCCTTGCGGATGATGTATCTGACCTGTCTCCTTCTGAGATGCTGACACTTCAAAATTGGCTTTCGTTCTATGAGAAGAACTATGAATTCATTGGTAGGTATTCCACAAGTCATTTCCATAGGTTTCATTGGAGTTGTCTTGCAATTTTTTTAGGGGGCTAGGATTCTTTGGGGATTGGACTCAAAGTTAAAATCTGAAAACTACCCATGGATTTTTCGCCTTAAACTCATACTGTGGCAGTATGGCCCAGAAGGAACGGCTGGGCCATACTTAATCTTGGGAGAGGATTGCCCATCCATTTGCTTTGGCCTCTGTTGCCCCACAGCCTGCACCACCCTTGAACAACCAGCCCCAGGAAGGCAGCTTCCCCATCTCACTGTGTTCCAAACATCTGGCTTCAGCGCAGTCAGGAAGCTCAGAGCCACCTGTTGGCTTGTGGTTTTGACAAATACCCTTTTATTTTGTCCTCTAAGGAGATAAACATTAGTCTGTGTCCATCCTGAATGAATTGTCTCCCAGGTGGAAGTTATGCTAATCAAACGTCTGTTTAAGCCAGTTGTATCCCGCACTGCACTTGCTACTTAAATGAGAAGACACTTAAGAGTGTCCTAAAGAAATGTTAGACACTAAACACTAGATTGCTTCACAAACACTGAAAACTAGGATAGTTGGGGCCCTTTTTTCCACCTACTGCTCTGACCTCTCACTGGAGCCCACTTGGACACAGGAACGTCAGTGTTCGGGAACAGGTCTAAATTGGAAGAGTTCTTCCTATGCCCCTAATGCCTCTGAATGTTTGCTTCTGTCATCACTGCCTGGGTTTCCTTTTCTGAGAACCTTGGCATCTTCACTAACTCCTCTGCTCCTTCCACATCCAATTGGCCAATGCTTTTTCATAAAATTGGAAGAGTTCTTTCTATGCCCCTAATGCCTCTGAATGTTTGCTTCTGTCATCACTGCCTGGGTTTCCTTTTCTGAGAACCTTGGCATCTTCACTAACTCCTCTGCTCCTTCCACATCCAATTGGCCAATGCTTTTTCATAACGTCTGAAGTTCTTTCTGTTTCCAGTCCTCCCTCGTCCACACCCACCATTGTTGGCCTTTGTCATTCCAACTTGCAGCACCCACATCTTTGTTTTCACCCAGTCTGCCCCAGGTCACTCCTAAGACCACAACTGTGTTTGCCATTGAAAGAACTGACCTCTATTCATCTGCCCTTCAGAAGGCTTGTTGGCTCTCCCTTTTTCCCATGAGATTGCCAAACCAAAGTTGAAACATTACTGGGTTAATAAGGAAAAAACCCAACACAAAAGAATAAGAGCGGAGTCCTGTGTGTGGGCAAAGGATACAATACACGTCATACTGATATTTGGGGGAAAAGATTGATGTATTTGTTGAGATGAGTGAACTAATCTCATTTGAACAGTCTTAATGTGTAGGGGCAGGGGGTGGTTGGGGCATATGCTCGAAAATGCCTCAGAAGGATTTCAGTTAGAGTCAGGAAATATTTGAATTTCTACCTTGGATACACTGTGGTTCTGGTCCTCATGGGGCCCACAGATGAGTTGAGTGCAGTTTCTGTCCTCTGTTAGCTTATTCTATAAGAGGGCTGTGTTAGGTTCCTTCAGGGCATCAGAAACCCTCAGGCCACATCAGAAGATGAAGACGTATTACATGGGTGCACAATGAAGTGAAGACAGCAGGACGCCATCTTGGCGGCCACATGGCCAGGCCTCATGGGGAAATGGGATGTCTTTTGTTGTGTCCTGGAGTCCCAGCCAATGATGACCACCATTCTCACAGCACAGCTTCTACCACTCTTTCTCTGTTGCCTCTACTACTGCTGTCCTCTCTGAGTCTCATGTCTAAAACCCACCAAGACAGGCTTGTCACCATGCATGCAGAGACCCTCGACAGAAGAAAATTTGGTGCTAGGCCAACTTACAGACTGCAGGCCTGGGACCAGGCCCTGATCCCTTCATTCATTCTATCAAGCATTTAAAGTGAATGCTCTGGACTGAGCTGCTTTGAGTGCTGGGGCCTCACTGCTGGGGAGCATGTAGCAGAAACAAGTAAACTGATTAGAAAATTCCAGACAGGGCTGTGAATAAACAAAAACTAATGTGATGCATGTTTGGGAGTGTGTGCCCCTCTGGAGCAGATGGTCAGGGGAGGCCTCTTGGAGATGACAGTTCAGCTGAGACCTGGAAGGTGAGAAGGAGCCTGAGATCTGGGAAAAGGGTATTTCAACTGAGAGAACAGTAGTGCCTGAGGAGGGGAGCAGTGAAGCACCATCAGGGAGGCTACCGGGAGGGAGGGAGGGATGGGACGACTTGAGAAAAGGGTAAAGAAGCAAACAGAAGTCAGGTTATAGTCTTGGAGGCCTTGATAAGAAGTATGTGTTTTATTCACATGCGTTAGGAAGCCAGTGGTGGGTTTAAACCAGGCATGGAGATGATACAGTATGATTTACGTTTTTAAAAGCTCATCCCAGCCGCTTGAGAAGGGACTGTTTGTAGAGAAAGAACTGTCGGAGGGCATGAGCTGAAGCAGGGAGCAGTGGGAGGCTACTGTTGTGATCCGTGGTGTGAGTCAGGGTGGTAGCAGTGGAGATGGAACGAAATGGACAGAATTGGGGTGTTTTTCAAAGTTGGACCGACACGATTCGCTAGTGCGTTAGATGTGAACGAAGAAGGTGTACATTTGCCTGTGAAGGGGGAGGAGTCAAGAGGCCCAAGGTTCCTAAGCCAGAGAGATGCACGGCTCCAAGACAAAAGTGACAAAAAGAATCGGAAAAGTCAGGATAGGAGTTGGAAGTGAGAGGATGAAGTGAATCTTGGGTCTGTGAATGTGACCCAGGATCTCAGTTCTCAGGGACTCATGAGGTTGGACAGACCGCCAGGGCACATATATACTGCTACCGCCTCCTACCGGGTCAGACCTAGAAGTGTTTTCTGCTGCTTCTCCTGCCCTCCGACAGGGCTGCTTGTGAAGGTCACTTGCAATTCAGGACTCGGAGATGAATGTCCCTACATCCAGGGAGAACTGACCCCTTCTTGGCTCTGGCCTACAGGCTCACTGACCACTTGCTGGCCACTGCCAAAGCTTAGACCTTACAAAGTGGGACAGGGATTTTAAACTAAAACCGGCTTCCACTCAGTGTGTCCACTGAAGGTGGAGGGGAGCGCATGAGCTGGGTGCCAGACCCACTCAGTGGCCTCAGAGACTTCCCACTTATTGAATCCCCCAGTCTCTCTCCTAGGACTATGGTCGCACTGATTTCTCTCACAAAACAGTGGGAAAGTGCTGGCATAGCTCCTGACACTGAGTGAACACTCAATGAATGACTAATTTACGTTATAGAACACAAAACAATTTAATGTGGGGAAGAACTGAGCCACATAAATGTCACGCAGTAAGCCATTCATTCATCAAACATTTATTAAACACCTACTGTGTGCCTCCAACACTGTGGAACATCGAAAAATGAGTCACATGTGGTCCCACTTTCGGGGAGCTGATGTCCAGAAGGGAGATTTTATAACCTCCGTACTGGAGGACTCTAGAACAGGGAGGCCCCTGCCTGGCCTGGCATAAGATGCTGAGAGACATCAGGACAGAAGGCATCACCAGTTCCTCCAATTAGCTCTTAATAAAGACGCAGCCAGTAGGCTACTGTAGAGCCCTGAAGGCAGAAACCCTGGGAACTCGAGCTTTACTATGACAGCTGCAGAAGCCGAGCCTCTGTTCGTGCCTCCCCCACTGTTACCTGACATCAGCTTTCCTCTCACCACAGGAAGGGTGATAGGAAGGTTCTACGGAGAGGATGGGCTGCCTACCCCAGAACTGACCCAGGTAGACGCTATGATCACCAAAGGCTTGGAGGCAAACAAACAAGAACTGAAAGAGAAGCAGAAGTTTCCACCATGCAACGTGGAGTGGAGCTCAGCCAGGGGCAGCCGGTTCTGGTGTTCCCAGCAGAGGTACACGGGCTTCCCTTCTGCCCTTCCGCCTCTCCCCCAAAGCCCACTTCCAGGTCATCCTGTCTGTGTTGTTGAGTGAGGCCATAAATTCATCACTAACCCAGGGGAAGTCTGTCAAAATACATGTGCTCTGGGATAGTGATTCTCAACTTTGGGGAATTTTTAAAAAATCACTGATGATGGGACCTCACTCCAGACAACTGGGTGAGAGTATTAGGGTTGAGCCCTGGGCATATTCTTCTTTTTCTTTTTCTAAATTCTCCAAAGACCTTGCTGAAGAACCCCTGGCCTGGGAATGAGATGGCTTAAGTACTGTTTCTTGCTGGCTCTTGCCTGTTCACCTGTCCAAGGGCCTCAGTCTCCTATTTGTCCGCACAAATCAGGCCTTCCTACAGGAGACAGATGAGGAGGGGGGATGGCCACTTGCAGCGATGCCCTGAGGTGCTGTCTTAAAAAAACACTGCAAATTCCGAGTAAATCCAGAAGCATAGGTAGACAGTCTGTTCGGGTAAGAACAGTGAGCCGGATTAGATGAGATGCCCCAGGCAGGACTTGTTCCAGGTTGGCTTAGGGAAGCTGGAGAAAGATTTCCCTGCTTTAACCATCAGGCCAGCCTGGACTCCAGTGCAGTTCAGGTCCCTCAGTCCTCCTTCACCTCTGCTAAGGGGGGAAAGGAAGGCAGCAAACAGAACCCCGCCCCTGCCCCCAGCCTCCTCAAGGGCCTCACAGTAAGAGCCCAGCTTTCACGGAGCAGGGGCAGGGAAAAGGGCCACTTCCCTAAGTGCTAAGCTGTCTGGCCCTGTCCCCACGCCTCAGCCCAGTTCATTGTTTTCCATTCACATGTACATATCTCCCTCTAGACTGGGAGAAACGAGTTCTGAAGGCAAGGCCTGGGTGTGGAGTAAGGGCCACTCATAATGGGTGGATGGCCTTAGGGGGAGAGAGGGAGCAAGAAGGGAGGCAGGTCAGCGCCCTGACCAGCAAGTGATCCTGGCCCGGGGCACTGGGATCTGTATGGGGCATCAGTTCCAAGGATCTCATTTTCCTTTTGCGAGGCTGAACTCAATACCCTACGATGAGTTAGGTCTCTCTGCCCAGGGGAGGAGGTGGCTCAGGCTCTGCTGGGCCAGAGCTTGATCCTCCATCTCTGAAGCTTGGTGACAGCAAGGACCAGGCCTGTACAAGGGGCAGGACAGCCTGCAACTACACCCTATGCCCAGAGCCTCCCAGACACGGCCAACCTACGATGGGGCCTTGGGTTGCTGCCTCAGTCTTCCACCCTCCCCCAAGTGCCCCGGACTCTAAGATCACCCTCCCTGTGCTGGGATGTCGTGGGGAAGGGAAAGGCAGTCAGAGCCAGACACTGCTTCTGAGAAGCTCACAGGCCAGTGGGGGAAAGCCTTGCAGTGTGACCCCCAATGCCGGGAGGTGGTGCTGCCTCTTAGGAAGGCACAGGGCAGGGACCCGGAGAGCACAGTGAATGGACGATGGACTGCCTTTGGGAGGGGAAGCTGGAGGGAGCCGGGCGAGCACGAGATTCAGAGTGAACACCGCAGGCCACCGCCTTGGGGAAACACCAAGATGGGAAGTGGAATGGCTTCTTTTAGCAGGCCTGGCTCACTGCTTCCTCCTCTCCCCTTCCCAGAGAGACTCAGGAGTTCATGCTTTTAAGAAGTCCTCTTTCCTTCTCTTCTTAGTGGAGGTGTGAACAGAGACTGGACTGGCGTCCCCAGGAAGCTGTTTAAGCCAGGTGCCAAGGAGCCCCACTGCGTGTGTGTGAGAACAACTGGACCTCCTAGTGACCAGACGTCCGACAACCCTACACGCAGAAATCGTGGCGACTTGGACCACCCTAACTTGGGGGAATACACAGGCTGCCCACCCTTAGCCATCACCTGCTCCTTTCCTATAAGCTGGTACCCTGTATGTTGATAACCCACAAAGAACCCTGCCCAGAACCCTAACGGGCCCTTGACTCATGTGCCCCAGGATGGCTCCTGACATGAAACAAGAGGGCCTGGAAGGACTCTGACTGTACACTGCAAACATGACTCAGGCCCCCTCACCATAGACTCACCATCCTGGTGACTGAGGCCAGAGCCTGGCAACCTGCCTGGTACTGATCAGCCTGTGCTTGTCACTGTTCCTCTAGCTCTCCTTCCATCCTCCTTTGGTGTCCACAGATATTAATGGGCACAGATATGACCAACTCCAGACTAACTGGACAGACACAGAAGGGCTTTGAGCTTCAACATCTTTCTTCCCACGGACTCCCAGGCTGCCCAGACCAGCCTGTACCTCCCACCCAAATCTAGATGTCAGGGCATCGGGGGCACTGGCAGAAAGGGACATCATTCCCCTGCAGCTCAGAGACAAGGAGACACATCCAGAAAAGCCGAGTAAATTAACAGCATCAACACAATCCTATTCCAAGTTCCCCACTCGCTAAACTTGTGACCCGTGACTTTTATAGTCTTTTTTATATGTAAGACCTCTACCCTAAGGCAAACTTGAATTTATAGCCCAAAGCCACACTGAGTTAGTTTCAGCTGGACCAATACAGTGAGAGAAGACAATAAAATAGGGTAGGCTGATTCTGGAAATGGAAGAGCTTCTGCATACATGGATGCAGCACATCCAGGTGTCTCTGAACAAAGCAACAACTTAAAACAAGGATACTGTTTCTCTTTTAAACACTTAAGATTAAGGGTAGTATGTTTTCAGAGGGAGAAGCCTGCATTTTGAGCGAAAGGTAGTTTTCCAGCTCTAACACAGACACTGGTTAAGAGCCACATCAAAGTGTGCATGAGGCTGTAAATGCCGATACAAACAGTGTTAAGTCCAGGGTCATCTGTAATCTCCTGCCCAGGGCCAAGTTCATACCAGTTACCTCTTGGATTAAGCAGCCAGGGGCAAGGTGCATTCCTACTTTACAGATAAGGAATCTGGTGCGATTACAGTTTCATGGTCTCCTCTGCGCCTTCACCTCAACTCCTCCCCATCCGCTCAACTCATACTCTAAACATTATCCTTTCTCTCTCTTTTTTTCATTCTCTCCTTTATCATTATTCTCCTTCAACAGCTTCCAGATTCACTGACTAGAAAACAGAGGCTGCCTCCCTGTAACTGTCAGACTCGTGCTCATTGCCCTTTAGCCCCAGCTGTTCCTCACACCTGGACTCCGCTCTCGGCTCCTCTGGCCACCTGGGAGCTTCCTCATCTGCCCTTCCTGTACCTTTAGCCTCTTCCTGCCTCCTGGCTCTTTCCTCTAAGGATGCACTCAGTAGCTCATCGCTGTCACATCATAAGTAAAACACCCCCTTGTGACATGTTCTTCCAAAGCCCCACGTCTGCTTCCTGTCTCTGCGGAGCTTTGAAAAAGCTGCATGTACTCACTGCCTTCACTCCTCAGCCCCTATTCGCTGTGCAGCATAGTCGCCCAGCTCCTGCCCTTCTCTGCTCCATGGCAGGATAAATCCCATCCTGGCAAACCCATGGCCACGTTCACTTAATATCTTCCTGGCTGGTCACATTTGAGGGCCCTCATGAAACCCTCCCTTGGCTTTTTCCTAATTTCCCTTATCTCCCTCATACTGTTCCTTCTCAGACTCCTTGAAAGCCTCCTCCTGCATGAGCCCTTCCCACCAGCTCCCCTTCCTCCTACTTCAGCTGCCACATCACTTCTCAAGTCCAGGTGGCTGTCCCAACCATTTCTGTAGGCCCCTCAGGTACCACAGTTCTGAGTCAATCTTAAATCTTCTCCCTCACCATTCTTCCAGTTCCCCTGCTGGCTCCACCATCACCATCCTACAGTCCCCAGTCACCCAGTCTTCCCCAACTCCTCCCCACCAATCTGTAGGTCCTGGCAGTCCCACCTCCTGAGTTCCCTCCCTCCCATCCCCTCACCCACTCCCAGGCCACCACCTCTGGGTGAGGCTGTCTTGTCTCCCCGGGATCATTGCCGGAATCCACTTGCACTTCCTCCAGCCCATCCTCACACCACTGAGTCATGTGCTTGATGGTCAGGGCGTTCTCCATTTAAACTTCTTCACTGGCGCCTGCAGCTGTGAGGATCAGGTGCTAGTAACTTTTCAGCAGCACACAGCCCATCTATGGTCAGGCTCCTCTTAGCCTCAGAATCTCTCCCCCCCACCTCCCACCTGCACTGTTCCCTCCAGCCTTCATCTCACTGCATTATGCCTGCGACACCACCCAGGATGCCCCTGCTGCCTGGAATGACACCTCTTCTGCTCAATTTGTCTACCTCTTATCTCTTAAAAACTCAGCTCAATCAACTGGGAGCCTCCCATTGGCCCACCAGTTGGACTTACATGCACTTTCCCATAGGAAAATAACACCATATTCACTAACAAATAGCACAGTGTCTCTTAACTAGAAATTTCTTATCAGACTGTCGCATTAAACTGCAGACTCTGAGGACAGGGACCAAAGGTTACTTGTCTTTGTACCCCCATATCCACAGTACCTGCGCATGGTAAGCACACAGGAGGAAAGTGAGGCTCCCGACCTCAAGGAGCTCACAGTATGGCAAGGTAAAGCCCTGCTTAGCGCAGCTGGAGGCCATTCTTGGGGTAGGAATGCAGGGATGGTGTGGGGGCCAGGTCTAGAGATGTTTAGATCCTACCAAAAACAAACTGGGAAAGGAGCAAAACAAGGCTTATTTACAGTCATCCCAGCCGTGTATGGACCTAAACTCTGGCTGATGGAAGACCCCTGAGCCCATTTTTCAGGACTCACTCAGCCAGCCTCCGCAGGCTGCTTACTTCCTTGCCTAATGAGAACTCATTTCCTCTTCGATGCCAACCACTCACTTTGTAGGTTTTCATGTTCATGGTCCAAAGGGCTCAGCCACGAGAAGCTAGTGGTTACTGGAGAAATGCCTGTCCTTTCTCTCTCCTGGGCAAAACCATGGAGGAGGGAGGCAGTTGCTTTCTGATGGAAGCTACGGAAGTTTGGCTCGGGCAGTTGAGACTTGTTGGCAGAGGGAAACAGAGAAGAAAACGAATACATGTTGGGCAAGCATGCTAGGCAGGGAGGGAGCATCCTCTGTTCTCACTTAACCTCTATGCCAGCCTTGAGAGGGTCTTTTTATGGTCCAGAAAAGGGACGTAAACACCCCATCCCCTCATCTAATGGTTACAGCAGTCACTGCACGGCAGAGCTCGGCTTTCGCCCATGTCTGCTCGCTCTACCAACCAGTGAGCAGCGTGACAGCGAAGGCTGCGCAGCTGCCCTCCAACAAGCTGGAGGAAACTGTAACATCTGTGTTTTAATCCTGAGATTCCAGTTTTTCCTATAAACACAGAACTAAGAGTGAAGAGCCTGCGATTTTTTGCATGACTGACTATACAGCAAAGGGAGCCATTTCAGACCACCGATGCCATCCCCTGTGTGCTCAGCGCCAGGACAAGCTGTGATCTGAAAGACAGACCCCACGGACAGGTTAAGGTGGTCTGTGGAAACCTGAATTCCCACCCTCGAGAACACTTCCTACTGCCCGAGCCCCCCAGATTTCTTCTCTGCAAGAAGGCAGCAGCCATTGCTCCCAGCAGCCCGCACTGGAGGAGACTCTGCCATGCACACCAGCATGAGAGAAGGACATGTCACTTACTACCGGCCACCCTCCGCAAGGCAGCCCTGTGAGTTGGGAAGGACCACGGTCACTTGTATTTTATAGACACAAAAACTCAGGCATAGAAATTATGAAACTTGCCTGTTTAACTCACATATTATGACATAATCTGACAATGTTTTCTTAAGGATGGCTAATAGGAACACTTGGAATTGTTGCTGGATGCCCTTAACCATGCCTGTTAACTAGGATAAAGGCCACCAGAGAATGCGATCCATCAATCACCCAGCTGGTCCGAACAAGGGGTGAGCAAAATGGAAGACAGGTGAAGGAAACGCAAACGCTAGTTCATGAAAGTGTTAGGGCCAGGTGAGCTACTAGATTTGTGCATTTTGTATGGGGAGATTACAGGTTACTAGATTTTAACTTGCAAACCCCTAAACTTTCCTTAGTTTTCTCGGAAGCGCACCGCACTGGTCCTCCCTTTAGACCATGACCAGCAGGACCCCCACCATGGGTGGACCCTCCTGAGCTGCTCCTAAATAATGGGGTCAGAGGGCGTTTCCAGGGTCCTCGGGGGAGACTGCACGTGCAGTGGGGTCACATGACTGAGACTGCCGCTCTGGTCACACAGTCTGGGCCAGGAGCACAGCACGTCCAGGCAGCTGGCATTACACCTAGAACAGCTACTTTTTAACTGCTGTCAACAATGTGTTTTTGAAAAGTGTTGGAAAAACAAACTTTCCTGAAGAGTAGTTGTTAAAGAAATGTATTCACGTTAGGAGTTTAAAAATTTTTGTTTGTTTTTAATGCTCGTTGGTACTTTTTGCATTAAAAGGAACTGCAAATGTGTTATTAAGATCTCCACTTTAAATGCAGTTTTACCTCATTTTATTTGTAAGGAATTGTTACAGAAAATGCAAATATCAATATTTGAAAAATACATTCCATTACACGGACTCCAAAGAAACAATGCTGATAAGCGCCGTGGTCCTATATGATGGCCTCGTCCCACACTGAGCCCCACCCGGACCGGCCTGCAAGCCTAGGCGATCAACTCGTGTGTGCCTGCAGTTTCTGCCCAGCCCTTCCCCTTGGTATGTCACACAGGTCTGTCACGGTAACAGCCAACTGCACACAGCTGCCAAAAAAGGCCAGTAAGTCATTAAGTTGAGCAGGCTACCCACTCAAGACTCGCTAGCTACAGAAAACCAATGTTGTCAGTTGTAGCAGGTTAATATATTATTTATGCCACACAAAAAAGTAACTGTACAGGCAATGATCTTCCAAAGAAAGTCTTTAAGGCATCTGTAACTTCTGGGAATTTACTAAGTGTTTAGTTTATGTCTTGTCAAAAAATCAGCTCTTCACTAAATTACTTCCAAAAATTAGCATCTGGAGCACCTGTTTCAGGAGCTCCCTCAGCCTCAGCCTCAGCCTGCAAGCTCCAAGTGGGGCTGTTGCGGAAGTGTCACACTTACTTGCTCATGCTACTGTCACCTGGGGAGTTATTCTGCCTTTCAGAGCTAAGCATTACATAGTTCAATAGGGTTTTTTCTCCAGATTAAAAAAGAAAAACTAGATGGAGATCAAGGCTCTCCCCCATCCCAAGGCATTTCCTCCACTTCCTGCCTGCAGACAAGATTAGCACGATACTGTTCAATACAACAGGAGGGGGACCCGCAAGCACACGGAGTTCCATGCAGGGCCCCATTCAGGGAGAAGAGTTGAGGAAGCTGAACACGGCAGTCAGAAACAACTCAGGACTCTGAGGTAGAGGACAAACAGTCACATGGACCCCACTCCTGGAGAGAATATGGCAGGTGGACTGAGCAATCTAACCAGGCCTTGACTAAACTGGTAATTGGGGTTGACAAGCACAGGCAACAAACTCCAAACGGAACACATGTTCCAATACATCATTCAGAGAGACACCACTAAAAAGATAACTGAAAATTAAGAAGTCCTAAGTGTAGGCACTTAAGTCTGTGGGAAAGTCCTGTGTTAGGGGATCATAGCAGGTTAGTCTCAGCCTTTCGATCTATAGATAGCACATGATTTGTACCTTCATCTTTTTAAAAAGACAAGACTGTTGAGGATACACTGCATCCAAATCTGGTGATGAGCAATAGGCAGTTAAAAAGCTAATTCAGTGTAATAATGTCGACTGGTACAGCGAATTACATCCCACTGAAGTTTATTCTTCCTGCTTACTCATTCATAGCTGTCAACTTTCTGAATGAATAAAACTGAGTTTTTGCTACTAGTATTTAAGCCACGGATTAAAATTTAACAAGAACAGCTAGGCAGTTGTACAGTCAAGTCTCGACAGGGTGGAGAGTACAAAGTGGGCAGAGAGCATGTAAAGTCCCACCAGGGCAGCCACCACTCAAGGAGCGTGTGTGCGCAGCCCTGTGAGCATCAGCCTGTCAGGGGGCTTCCTGAGACTCTGGAAAGGTGCTTTATCTGCCTCTACAAGAACGCACCCTGAAGCCAACGCAGAACTCACACGATGTTCCCGCAGCCCTCGGTGGCTAAGTACCGTCTCTATCCCTGGACTCCGTAAGGAAAAAGAAGCTGGACTCAACCTATTTTAAACATGATTTTAAGACTTTTAAGTGCAATTAGAGGCAAGACTGCTATTGAAATTGGTCTGGTAGCGCAGGGGCAGGACAATCAGCCTCATTGCTGACTGAATTCCCATCCTCTCTCCACCACGAACATTAAAAGAACAGGTATAAAAAGTACCGACCGCCTCAATTCGTATCTGAAGTGTAATTATCTTACTTTCCAATTAAAGAACCAAGCCACCTAACTAAGCCCCATTTCCCCAGGCCCGGTTCAGGCAACAGAAAACGGAAACTTGACCCCATGCTTCACATGGTCAGGTGTTTGCCAAGACTAGCTGTTTTTCCATAAAAATTCTATATGAAATATGTCACAGACTTTAGGGGACAAGGGAACTCTTCTAATTACTTTTTTCTTTTAAACATTGTGCACAAGCTCCTATTAACATAGAAAGCATATATATCTTATAAATCACAGAAGTATTAAGAAAAAGTAGCACTCTGGTTTATCAGCTCATTTTACACACATATTTAGGCAATAGGATGTATAAATCTACAGCAACATGGAAGACATACCACTATCCAAATAAACAAACAAACAAAAAAACAGGCGTTGCAAAAAAATATTTAGTCCCTTTTACACATATATCCATACTTCATTAATGCAAAAAAATGTAGTGGTTATTTAAATGTCTGAAAAAATCAGTATGTATGATTGAGATTGTTAATCTCTGAGTATAACTGTATATAACACATATTGTTCATCTCAGAGTTTTTGTGGTTTTTTTTAGCAGTGGTAGAAGTTTCTCTTTAAATGTGCATCTTTCAAAAAACTGGCCAAACCTTCAAAGGAAAAGGAGTTTAACATCTCAGGGTTAACGTGTGTACTAGCAGCGACTAAGGTCCAATAAGCTCTGGGGACCTCACTCAGCACATGAGTGAGCCTTCCAAAACGGGGCCCTCGGCCGCCAGCTCTCCTGGGGGCAGAGCAAGCTACACAGCACTGGGACCTAGGACCGACAGCACTCACAGCGTAACTGGGAGGGTTTCAGCAAGAGGCACTCATGTCAGGAAATGGGAGGCTAGAGACTCCCTTTATCATCCCTGGGCCCGTGTGACGTTCTTGCTCCAAATGACACTCCGCAGGAATCGTCCCTTTAAGACTCAGTGTGAGCAGAGGTCCGGTCACAGCTAATCGTTAGACTTGCTGATGTACAGGTGTGCGAGGGCATTTTTGAACATGGATTTTTAAATTGGAATCACCAATAATGCAGCTATATAAAAAGTGCAGCACAATAAAAGTGCATCTCCTCTACCACTGCCTAGTAGCAGATGACTGAGGACTCCACAGACAGGACACAGCAAGATGAGAGAATGAGACGGCTGCTAGGGGGTGTCAAGCTGCCCAACTGCAATCCTGACGCCCGAGCAGCATGAATACTGGTAAAGCTTTCAGTTGTTAAGGCCACAATTGTTCAGCTCTCATCTTTGAACCCTGTTTAGAAAGATTTCACCTTTTTTAAAGGGGTAGCTCACTAAAAAATATAGCTTAGCTTTTCAAAAAAAAAAAAAAAGAGAGAGAGAGAGACTTCAGGGCAAGAGGATCCTATTATCTTTATGAAAACACTATGCAGAAGTCCACAGCCACTTACCCTAGAGTAAAGCCAGCTCTCGTCAGGCAGCCAGACGCCAGCTTTCTACTGTGAGGCTCTGCCTAGAAAGTCCGCGCAGGCAGGAAGACTTCATGAATGCTCTGAGATGGACACTAAGCTACTGGAAGGGAAAATGCTTTTCAAACTGTCCTTGTACGTAATTAGCAGAATGGGGTTTAATTCCTATCACATTTACCACTTAGGCTAGATGGCCTGGTCCAATGAATGAGACATCTAGTGAACTCGATCACAGTCTGACAATCATACAGAATCATTTGAAATGGGATCTATCACACCATGGTCCTTAACTGTTGCAGTCTATCGCCGCAGGAAGACGACTGCCAGCTCCTGCTCTGGGTGGGGTCAGGCTGGTGAGCAGAGCAGCTGCTGGGGAGGCGACTGAGGATGTGGCCTGGACCTTCCTGGGGGCTCACTAGGAGACCCCACCCAGAGTCAGTACATCAAAGCAAATGTTGCAAACTCGCACAGGCTTGTTCAGATCAAACTTTATAATAGGAATCTCCTTGGTCGAGCATTTATGGCAAAGAAGACGCCCGCAGTGACGACTGTGGAAGCAAAGAAAAGGAGTGTGAGAGGGGCTGGGGAGCAGACCGTGGCCCGGCCCGGGGCTCAGCCCCGGCAGCGTCCTGGGCAGACGAGGCCAGGCCACACGGGCACTCTCCCGACAGCTCTGCCCTTGCCAGCCAAGTTACACAATGCATGCAGAACTTCTAGTTCATAAAGACAAAATTCTAGCCAATAAGTAGGTTAAAGAGGTACTGGAGAAGCCTCTTTCCTTAAAGCTCAAGAGAGGCTCAGTAACAGCCGAAGAACCGTCTCCCTGTACAGGGAACAGCGCCTCGGTTCTCAGGAGAGCAGCCTGCGCTCAGGCTGGGAAGCACACCTCCCCCGAGGACAGTGACCCAGCTCAGCTCCACCGCAAGCAGGAAGCCTGGGGAAGACGGCATGAGGCCTGACAGGCCGCGGAGGACGGGGAGCACTGGAAGCCGGCAGGCAGGCCACTAGCCTGAGCGCCCTGGGCTCCCCGCGTCACTAGAAGTGGGCACAGCCCCATCACTCCTGGTCAAGCTTTGCTCCGAAGAGTACGGGGACCTGGCAAGCTCATGGTTTGTCATGGAAAAAGGTAGGAGCAATGGTCTGAGCAAAAACCCCCTCATTACTCTGGCAAGCGATGTTGGGGGGTCTTACCAGTGATGTTTGCGAGTTGTGACTCCAAACTTGGCAGTGCACTCGTAGCAATTGGAACCGTCGCACCACGGGGGCTCCTTGGACAGCATGTCTGTAACACAGGCAGGGGACCAGTTGTGTCAGATAGTGACAGTGCCCGGGGTTTGGGGGAGCAGAGAAACAGACCAGTAAATAAAGCAACACATCGCAGAGGGACAGGAGGGACAAAAGAGCCACACACAGGCCCGCCTCCTTTTACTGAGCTTCACAGATACCGTGTGCTTTTTACAAATTGAAGGTTTGTGGCAACCCTGCATCGAGCAAGTCTATCGGCGCCACTTTTCCAACAGTATTTGCTTACTTCCTGTCTCTGTGTCACATTCTGGTAATTCTCACACTATTTCAAACTTTTTCATTATTATTCTATTTGTTATGGTGATCTGTGATCAGTGATCATTGATGTCACTATTTTAATAGTTTTGGCATTTTTTAGCAATGAAGTATTTTTCAATTGTTTTTAACATTGTGTTTTAGACATAATGCTCTTGCACACCAAATACAGTACAGTGTAAACATAATCTGTTTTTTTAAATGTAACTTTTATATGCACTGGGAAACCAAAAACATTTGTGCAATAAACATACGCTTTATTGCAATATTCACTTTACTGGGGTGGTCAGGAACTGACCATGGTCTGCTTGTATCCTAACTGGCTCAGGGAAAGCTTCACCGAGGAAAACACAGAGGAGCAGCATTTGCCAGGCAGACTGGGGGAGAAGGAAACGGTGTTAAGGCCAAGAAACAGCCCGGTGTCTGTGGGGGAAACCGTGCAGTCGGGGATGGCTGGAGGGTCAGGTACGGCAGGGAGAGGGCAGCCCAGCAGCTAGAGAGACTGGCGGGGGCTGAACGGAGAGGGGAACCAGGCAAGAGATGAAGGAGGCAGAATCTGTAGGATCTGGTGCCTGAAAAGAAGTCAGGGGTGTGAGGAGAAGGCAGGGGGAAGAAAAGATATGAAGGCGATTTCCAGATTCTAGGCCTCCAGAGTCTGACTGAGTCAGTGGTGGGACCAGCAGAGAAGAGTCACTAGGGAGAGAACCTGAGCAGCAGAGGAGTTCAGCTCTTGAGTCTGCGGACGCTGTGGGCGCCTGGGCTGAGAGCTACGCGTGCAGCTGAGAGCAGCAACACCTAGCACTTATCACCACACCCGGCACTGCTGAGTGCCCTACGCACAGGAGGAGACTGAGCTACCAGGAAGAATCGATCATCACCCGCACCTTCCACACGCCAGCACTGCAGATGGGATGGGCTCCAGTTCTGAGCTCTTAAAAGGCTGACCAAGTACAGGGCAGACAGCAGACTGATGTAGAAACACCGCTTTAGCTTGGCTCTGCTACAAACCAGCTTTGTGACCTTGGGCAAGTCACCTCTATCATGATCACGCAGCTGCTAAGTATGTCTGAGCCCATTTCTCCACACACACCATGAGGCTGAGAGCCCTGGTCCGTCTCCACTGTGGGCAATGACAGCACCCTGACAAGTGAGGCACTGATTCTGCCACCTCAAGGGGGACGAGTAAAGGCTTGCAAATATGAAATCATGAAGTGTGAAGCTCTCCCTGCCACAACAGGAGCACAGAGGAGGAAGAGTCAGTGGGACTGACCCAGAAGGCTATTCTGAAGGACAAAGAATCAGCTTTGGTGGAAGGACGAAGGGCGTGCAGACACACAGCCAGAAGCTGTGCGGAGGGTGACCTGCCCTGAGCTTACAGATTTCTGGTAGGATCAGGGGTAGTGGGAAACAACACGGGCCCCATGCAGAGCACTCTGAGAAGAGACAGTTGACAGTGGCCCTCCCACTGCGGCTCAGAGGTCCTTCCCAGCACTCACAAAGTCCTGACTACGTGATGCCTGGAAGGCTACTGGTTCAGATCGTGGAGAAGTTGTTATGAGGTGTGAAGACCACTGACACACCCAGATCATCAACACCATCACGTGCCTGCACTGAGAGCGGAAGGCGGGCCACTCACCTAACAGTCTGAACAGCAGCTGCTTGGTGGCAACCTGGTAGTTGAAGATGTTGACTCCCTGGTTGTTGTTCACCCCAAGGCGGGCCCCAGAGCGGACGATGGCGCGGCACAAGTTGGCATTCCCTTTCATGTAGGCTAAGAGCAGCACTGGAAAACAAAACCACAGGCAGGGCTACTTCGCACCAAAGGGCTGGCCGAGGACGGCCGAGGGCAGGACACACCCCAGGCAGGACATTTGTTAGCGAATGAAACACACTCCAGAAAGTTCTACCTCATGGATCCTCTCTTCTGTGCAGGCTCTGGCCAGGCCATCCTGCTGGTTCTCCTTCCTAACAACTACAGCTAACAGCAGCTCCCTTTTGCTTACCTTTACCAGATACTTTTTTAAATTCTTTCATTTAATGCTCTAAACAATGCAGTAAGATCAGGGTTGTTATTTCAAATGAGGACACAGGCATAGAGAGGTGACACAATTTAGCTATCACCCTGCTGGAATATGACAAAGCTGGGTATCTGAAACCAGGTCTGTAATTCAGATGCCTGAGCCTGAGGTCCCTGCCTGCCTGGCTGCCTGTTGACCCACCCTGGACAACGGTGCTCGCTGGAGTAGGTGGTGAGCCCTGCAGCGGCTCACTCCCAGGGCTGACTCCTCTGAAGCTCAGGCTCATCACTGCTGGCTTAAAAAACATGTTCATGAATCAAGGCCAAGAATTCTTCCCAAGGCTAAGTAGCGATGACAAAATATTTGGTCCTATGCCAACGTGCCACTTTTTCAAAGCACCTCACTATGTCCTGCAGTGTATTTCCTCCTTCTGAAGCACCTGTGAGGTGGCTGTGTTTTTCTCTCTCTTGGGATTCGGAAGCTTGAGCAGGGACCTAGCTGACTGGATAGGAGATGGATGAGGGCAATAAAAACCAGTGGGGAGGCCTGTCTGGACATGATATGACTTTGAGTGCTAGATACACTTCAGATGTGCTTGTGCCTAAAATCCAACACCGCCAAATTCCACCTCAGGAATTGGTGACAGATGCTCATACAGCCCAAATGCACTGGGCTGAATGTCCTTAAGTAATCACACGTGTGCCCAGGCTCCAGTCGTTCTAGGAAGCAAGGACCACCAGTGAAACCGGGCAGACAAAAACCTGTGACATACCCGTGTTTCCTTCTGCGTCTGGCTTATCCAGAGGGTACTCAGGCATGCACTCCAAGAAGAGATCAAAGATGGCTGCTGCATTCTCTTTGCCATATTGTCCCAAAATGTGCAGGGGCAATTGGCCTCTGATAAAGAAAGTTGGGAAAGTTAGGTATATATCTGCCACGGCCATCATGCACAAAAGAAATGGGATTTTCTGAACTCTGTGATGCTGGGTAAATCTAAAGAACACGATAATCATAAAGTTTTTCTAAAAAAGCATTTTCAAAAAGAAAAACTCCAGGATGCCAAAGGCTGATCAAGGGCCCAAGTGGCCAGTTCTGCAGCGTGCACCTTCTTTTATTTTTTCCTGTTGTCTTTTAAATGGATTTCAAAGTATTAAAAACTAGAAATAAATGGTTTTACAGTTTTTAAAAAATATATTAGAGCTTCAGACTACAAATTAGATTGGCATTCATTTAACATGTCAAAAAATAAAATAACATTATTCTCTTCCCCTGGGAAGTTGTCCACAGAGAAGCAGTCAACAATTCTTGGCTGTAAACTCCACTTTCACTGTAAGAGCTGATGTTTGGACCTGGGGCTAATACAAGACACCCATGACCACCAGCTCTGAGGGGCAGGCAGGGGACATGGAGCCCTGGCCTCTCCTCTGAACCACACACACTCACCTTAGATTAAAGGCTTCGGCGTCCACGGTGCACTCCGTCAGGAGGACCCGGATGTTGTTGAGCCGGCTGTGCATGACCGCGAGGTGAAGAGCTGGGGAAGAAATCCTCTTACAGTGCAAGCTCAGAGGCACACACAGAAAATCCAGACTCTTCCTCACCCTCAAAAACCTCCCTCTAAGTGGGACTCAGCCAAAGCAGCCTTGTCCACCCACAGAGCATCCTTTCCAGTCTTCACCATCCCCAAGAATGAGTCACAAATGCAACCTCCTAAGATTTGTCTTCTGCTTCTGCAGTTTTTCAAAGATGAGGTCTTATGATTTCACCAGGAGCCACTCTAGGCTTCTAAGGTTATCATTCAGCTCAGGAGGCTGCCCAGCCCCTGGTCAGAGCAGGCTGGGTGCCCAGCTCAGACACCTCCTGTCACAGGGCTGGTCCTCTAAGAGCCAGTGATCCTGGTGGGGAGCAGGCCCAAGGGAGCAGCGCCCCTCCACCCCTAGAGGGCGCTCAGCACTGCGCACCATGAATGGCTGGGAATTACCATTGTTTCCATTCTCATCCACAGCAGCAAAGTCCACTCCATTCTCCAGGAGGACTGAGCAGATGGTGGGCAGGTCCTGCTGGGCAGCGAGATGGAGGGCGGTCTGGCGGTGCTTGGTTAATTCATTCACTTTGGCTCCTGCAAGAAGCTGTTGAAGTTGATTACATGAGCAGCCGCTCTACCACAAACAACCAAGGTCCCATGGACAGGGCCAAGCCTGCCTTCTTTTGGCATCCACGGAGTCTGCCCTGCTGGCAAAGCTGGGAGGACAGGGCCTCACATACACACCTGGTGAGGCAAAGGCCAGCAACACCGGACCCAAGGACAAACTGGCAATTATCAAAAGGTTAGAAAAGCCATTCCTTAGGACACAGAAATTCTAAGACTTCAGTATATAAAACTACACAGGACTGCAGTGATGTTCACTGCTCTATTTGGAGATGTCCACTGCTTGTAACAGTAAAACCAGATTGCGGGAAGGATTTCATTAAGACAATTATAATATATACAAACAATAGAATAGGTAGCCATTGAGATGATAAATATTTATGATTTAACATGAAAGGATGTCTACGATATAGTAAGTTTTTAAAAAGACAAGTTAGAAGACAGTAAGACAGTGAGATTCCATTTGAAGAGAGACAGACCGAGAAGTGTATATACACACACACAATATATTCAAACTCTGAAGGTGTTTAAAAGCATGTATTCTGAGGGGGAGGATATAGCTCAGTGGTAGGGTGTGTGCCTAGCATGCATGAGGTCCTGGGTTCAATCCCCAATATCTCCATTAAAATAAATAAATAAATAATCTAACTACCTCCCCACCCAACCCAAATTCTTTAAAATTTAAATAAATAAACAAATATTTTAAAAAGCATATATACCAAACTCAGAGCAGAGTTGGGAGTGAAAGGGAGGTACTAACTGCCTTATACCCTTACGTGCTTTAAGCTTTTCCACGATAAAAATGAAATATTTTTATGTGATTTTTTAGAAGAATGAAAGCAACATAAAGAATTACAAAGTCAAAAGCAGGAAGGTCCTTTAAATAATATCTTACGTATTCATTCAGTATTTGAAATTCATTCATCATCCACTTTCTGACAAAGTTTCAGAGACATTTGCTGGTAACAGAAAGAATCTACAGTTCACACTCAGAGCCCAGTTTGCCTCTCCTGAGGTCTGAGGCCACCCCTGGTTGTGCTGTCTGCATGCGCAGGCGCTCTGCCTCTGGGAGAATCTAGGCAACAGTTAGCTGCTCTATTCTGACCCTGATGGCCAAGTCCCAGCACCCCCTGGACCTTGGGCACCTGGTCAAATCACTTGCAGGTCCAGACAGGACACATCACAGAGGGGTATTTGTGGTCTGAGTGCTGTGCTAGGACCATAGCTAACCCCACGGGTGTTACCTGGAGGTAAGGGGAGAGGTTTGGATAAAGGCATTGATTCAGTGGAACAGGTTCCAACATTAAGCCACACCGGTTCATAGAGGAAGGACTGCATGGCCACTGTTTGGAAGATCGGCTGTTTCTAGGGACTCCTATTACCTGCGAGGTCAAGCCTTACTAAGACAGAGGCATGATCCTGGTGAAGGAGCCACGGCCCTCAACACCCCTGGGCTCTCAGGGTGGCAGGCAGACTGACCAACATGTGACCCAATTCTCTACTACTTTGAGGCCCACCTATATTAGAAACAGATCTACCATACAATCCAGTAACTCCACTTCTGGGTATCTCTCCAAAAAAACAAAAACACAGTAATTCAAAAAGATACATACACCCCCGTTTAATTGCAGCATTATTTACAACAGCCAAGATATGGAAGCAACTTAAGTATCCATGCTGGATGAATGGACACGGGGACACACACACACACACACACACACACACACACACACACACACACACAATGGAATACTATTCAGCCATAAAACTGAATGGAATCATGCCATTTGCTAATATGTGGAATTTAAAAAACAAATGACAAAAAACCCCCAAGTTCAAAGATACAGAGAACAGACTCATGGTTGCCAGGACAGGGGTGAGGGGTTGGCAACATGGGTGAAGGTGGTTAAAAGGTACAAACTTTCAGTTACAAAATAAGTAAGTCCTGCAGATGTAATGTACAACATGGTGACTGCAGTTAATAACTGAGTATTACTGTATATCTGTAAGTTGCTAAGAGAGTAAATTTAAAAGTCCTCATAAGAAAAAAGTTTTTGTAACTACATATGGTGACAGATGTTAACTAGACTTATTGTAGCGATCACTCTGCAAAAAAATACAAATATTGAATCAATCTGTTATACACCTGAAACTAACTGAATGTTGTATGCCAACTATATCTTAAAAAACCCCAAAAAGACTGATGAAAAAAGAGTGAGAGGGAGAGCAAGCTCACTGCAAAGCCTGATCCAGAGCAGGCAGACAACAGAAACAGACGTCCCTTCCCTTGATGCTCCCACCCTGCCTCTGCCTTCCCTCGAGGCCTCACTCCAGCATCCGCCTGCCCACACAGCCCACTGGGCACTCAGGACATGCTGCTCACAGACACGCCTGCTTTCCCGAGTGTACTGGCTCACCCCCCAAATTCGCACTGGCCTCTCACAGTACCTGGCAAACACCTATGATGAGAGAGCCCGCACGTGCCCTGCAACAGGCTTTGTCCACATTACACACAGTAACGTTTTAGTGACACTCACCAGATTGCGGACAATAATCTCTGAGCCTGCTTGCACAGCAAGGTGCAAAGGGGTCAACTTGGAAGCATCCTGGACTCTGGAATTCACATTAGCTTGGACACTGATCAGGAACAGGACACTTTCAATGTCAGAGTTCTGAACTGCCACGTGAAGAAAATTCCGGCCCTTGTTATCCACCTAAAGCAAAAAGTGGGAAGCAAATTATTAGCGGGCTCCCCCTGCAAGAGTGCCTCTTGAGCACCAGAGAGCTGCCCTGACCGATGGAGAGGCCACGGGGTAGTCCTCCTGCAGTTCCAGGAAGCTCCCTCCCTAGAACCAACACTAAACCCACATTCCCCCACCCCCATTACAGATCCACTCTGCATGTCTATGCACATGGGCACATCCACGTGGTTGGAGAAAGGGAGCTGATCCAAGCTGCCCTGGTATCCTCCTGCAGCAGGAGTGGGCTTGGGAAGCCAAGAAGGAAACAACCTGAAGGACAGAGAAAAGAATCCACCAAAATACTGGGATGCACGGGGAAAGGCAAAGGTGGACACCGGCCCTGGGAGTCTCCTGCTTTGGCTAAAGCAAGCACCCAGCATTCTAACACCACAGCTGCAATGCCCACCTGACCCCTGTGCAGTCAAACAAATCTTCAGAAATTTCCAGAAAGTCTCCTCTTTTACTGAGCTACAGGATACATGTGAGGGAGGCCGCCAACAGTATGTCAGACTTTGTCACTGAAGTGGAGCAGGCAAAAGATCACGCAGATCAGACCACAGAGGATCCTCGTACCCAGAGCCGCCGTATTATTATGAGGGCTCAGGAAGTGAGGGAGACACACGTTCTCAGTCTCTCTCTCTCTCACACACACACACAGGTGCTGGTGCCACAGCAACATGTCTGCAAAGGACTTGGACCAACAGCACCGGTTTCACACCAGATGGGGAGATGTGAGATCACTATGTCCATTCACGCGCATCCTACCCCACGTGAGCAAGGGTGAGGAAACGCCTGCGTGAGTCAGTGACACTCAGGCGAATGCTGAAGAAAAGGGAAGTACGGAAGCCTGGGACGCACCAGGGCAAAGTCTTCACTCATGTCAGGACTTTTGTGCAGGTCCCAGGTTTCCATCTTAACTTCATGAATGGCTACTCAGAAACCTTGGCAGTGTCCTAAGTGCTGGATGGAGATTCACGTGTCTGAGGACTGACTTAACTAACCCATCCCAGCTCCTGCCTCAGATCAGTTGCTACTGTCATTTGCCACCCAGTCTGATGTTCCAGGTCAACAGCTCGCCATCCAGATTCAGCAGCTGGTGAAGAACCACAGAGAACAAGGACAACTGAGCCTGCTGAGCTGGATGGTAACAACTCCCATGAAACCGTTTAAACCCTCTGAAGACATTCATTACTAGGGCAATCAAACCACCAAGCAAAAGTAAAGGACGACCTCAGTCGTACCGGCCACAGAACTCCTGTCACGGGGCCCAGCCGCCCCAGCTTCCTTCCACACGGGGCTCCAGCTCGGGGCTGACGCGTGGGGCAGGGCAGGCAAACTCCTCCCAGAACCCACATGACAGCAGAGCAGCCACATTTTAAGAAAGGGGAGTATAAATTCAAAACAAATGTCTTTATATAGAAGAGACCTGTTTATTAGTTGGTGGCACTCGCTCAGTCTCCATGTAACAGGTTCTGCTCTGCCCAGGGCACAGTGGAGAATGTGGGGTGTTGGTCACTCACCTGCTCAGCAGCCCCAGACTCTCGTTTTAGGATGGCCTCAGCCGCCTTATTGTTCTTGTAGGTCATGGCGCAGGCAAAGGGGGTCAGGCCCTGTCTGTCTCGTACGTTCAGGTGGATCTCAGGGTGAGAAATCAATAGCTGAATGATGACGCCGTGTTGGTTGCTGATGGCCACGTGGACAGGCGTTCTGCCTTCTGCATCCTATGGGGACAAGGCCCAGTTAAATGAAGTTAAAACCCAGGAAAAATATGGAGGGGAATAACTTTTAAATTGAATTTGGTTCTGAGAATCAATACTGCCACTCTGTATTTGAAATCAGCATCTCAAGAGGCCAAACACTGAGGTGACCAACAGCCACTGCCCGTTACCCTCACATTCCAGTGACCCAGAGCCACGAACACACTAGGTTTAGAAAAGTTGTCAACCTCACCTCTAAGTTAAACCACTGCTTATCTGGCTGCAGGGCAGCACACAAACCTCCACAGGCTGGAACACTGAAGAGCATCAAGGAATATAACTCATGGATGCGCCACTGAACTACTGGAACAATTTCCTAAACACGGTACTCAGCCTGGGGCTAGAACAAATTCTCAGTGGAAATCTGTTAACTAATGGGGACAGGGGGTAAGGGAAAGTTGACTGAACAAATCTTCCTCACTTTGTAGAAAGGACCAAGACACAAAGAAGGAAAGTCTTAGCCTGAAATCATTAAAACAACTAGACAGGCTGCACGACAGAGAGAGTCACTTCACCAGTCTGCACCTTGTGCCCGTCCGGGTGAAGCAGAGGCCTGGGACTAGAGAATCAGCGAGGCCCCTGCCGTAAGAGGAGGTTTCCCTGGTCCTGGAGTTACCACCCACCTCCCTGGAAAAGAGAGACTCTCCATACCTGTGCATTTACATTGGCACCAAACTCCAGAAGACACTGTATCGTCTCCTCCAGCCCCCAGGAGGCTGCCAAGTGCAAGGGGGTCTGCCCATCTCTGGCCTCCTCCTCTCCTTCTCCATTAGCACCAGGTTGTCTGGGACTATTCACATCACAGCCACTGAAAGGAAGGGGGAAGTAAAGGGAAGGCTTCAGAAGCCATGCCCCAACCCGGGGGGAAAGCACGAGCACGCTGCGAGGCGGACAGCCGCAGCCTCACCCCACCCAGCAGGGAGGCCGCTGCTGCCCGGACAGCAGTCCTTGGTCCTTGGCCTCAAATACCGGTATCTGGGTCCCGCTCCCACAGATTCTTCAGCAGATGGTCCTGGGGGTAATCTGGGTATCAGAACACTTAATAGCTCCCCAGGGGACCTGCACGCTATGAAAGCTTGAGAATCACCGCTCTGAAGGTTTCCTGAATAACCTCGCCTCCCGCACACCCTGCACGTGGAGGCTGCGGGGCCCGTGCCGGCTCAGGAGTCGTGGTGCAGCCATGCAGAGACCGTTCGGTTCCTCCACCCCCGCTCCTGGTCGCACTGTGTGACCTGCATGGCTCCCAAAGCAGGAAGCTGGCTTAGCTTTCAGATTCTCTGAAGTGGGTACATGAGCCCCTCTCCTTAAAAGTGAGTAAGTCCCTGGCTGACTTGACTTGAAGAACAGTGACCCCCTAGCAGCCCTCATGATGAAGGTCAAGCCAGCTACAGGCATGCCAAGGCCGTAGTTAGAGCAAATGAGAAATGAGCCAGTTTTCAAAGGGATACTTAGGCTTCTCGGACCTGCGAATAAGAAAGCAGGCGATGGACTCGTTGTTCTCATCAATGGCTCTGTGCAGCAGGGTCTGGAGGCACCCGCTAGGTCCTGGACCCCAGCACGTGGCATCACAACCATGTCTGACCTGCAGGAGAACACGGCTCACTCACAAATACTGCCTAGCAAAGGCGAACATTTTTATTACCATCTTTGAGCTTACGTACATCATTAGATCCATTTTTCTGGCAAGATACAGTTGATAATTAACTGAAAATTATTTTAATCTGTACCATTTATTAGTTTTATAAACACTAATTAAAATCTGCTCACTGCAAGTTTTTGCACTTAGCTGCTGCAAGATGGGCTTGAGAAATCAAAGAAAGATACATTTGATTAGTGTCCTCTAGACCTGTGTCTTAGAAGGGACAGAAAACACACACAAGTGCCAGCTACACACACTCACATGCCCCAGTAACATATAACTGTAATGCACAAGTAATCTCAAGAACAACTGGGGAAAACCCCTACGTGCAAAATGCCTAAATGTCACATGTCAGGGCCTTCAGCAAACAAGATGAGCTTTCAGGGTTGCTGCCACTTTTGGCGTTTGTCTTCTGAGATTGAGACCTTATCGCTATGGTGATAGCGAGGGCAGCCTACATCCAGTTACCCCACCTCAGAAGGCCCCTGAGGAAATGCTTCTTGATAGTTTACTTGATAAAGACAGTCGAAGAAAAGGTGTTGGCAAGACTACAGTGAACTGCAAGTTTATTTAACATGACTTTCAACTGCTCGTCCTGGACCCAGTTAGTTACTTGGCAGCTCTCCTGCTCTTTGTGATTGCTTTGCAGGCACCAAATGCACCTCTGGCACGAAACATCCCCACATGTAAACAGAGATGAAGCTGAGACACTTCTTGTCTCACCAGAGTGGATGCGATGTCCTCCAGGTTACTGGCCAACGCCAGCCACAGCGGGGGGTTCCCCTTCTCGTCGGGCACGGACATGTCAGCGCCCCGGGTGCATATGGCGTCCACTACAAGCGGAAGCTGATTTCTGATGGCGAGCTGGAGGGCTGTCTCCCCATCCTGAGTCCTGTTAGTACACGCACACCAAAACCAATGTTGTAGCTGGGGCCAAATGATAAAGGGTGTCCCTCCGGGCATTCCAGAGACAGAGCCCACTGTATCCTTTAAACACACTTCCCTCACATTCATTAATATTCTTTCAGAGAAATTTAACCTGTCAATAGCCTCTGTCCCTCCTGCCTTTAAAAAATATAGCCACACTATCCTACTGCACCCAGAAGATAACTGACCAACATCCCAGCATGCTGAAATCGGACAGGTACACAGCTGCGTTTAATAGCAACTGAATAAAATGCCACCCCAACTATCCATTTGACAGAACACTTCTTTCATCCACTTAGTCATTCTAGGTCACTTGACATTGGAGATAAAGATAAATTCCTTAGAAAATACAAAATTTATCTATTTTTCCCCCTCAAGACTTTTGATAGCTCATTTGTTGAAATGGTCTTCATAACAACTGAACTTCCTACTTAAACAATCGATTTCGGATTGCCCTTTTTGATGAGATTTGGGCCATACTGTGCTCTGGTCTTGAACGGTTCAAATAAGGGCAAAGTACAAGACCCCTTCTGAGTCCACGATTACATTTACTTACAACACAGAATCGGTATTTTTTCAGAGTCATTATTTCCCTTCTCTTATTTAACAAGTTACAAAAATATTTTCTACAAGCAAGGCTCTGCTTTTGGACCACCTCAATTAAAGGTGCTGCGGTGGAGTGCTGTCCAGCCCACCTGACGTTTATGTCCGCCTGGTGCTCCAGCAGGAAGAGCGCGCTCCTGCTGTCCTGCCGCTGCATGGCCATGTGCAGCAAGGTCTGCCCGTCCGACATGGTGTCGTTGATGCAAGCCCCAGAGCCCAGCAGCTGGGCTGCAATCGTGTGCATGCCTGCGAAACAGACCAGCCCTGAATGACACGGGCTCAGCCTCTCCCACTTCCTCAACCCCTTACTGCAACAAACACCCCTTCTCAAGCTCTCCAAGCCAACAGCTTTCCACTGGCTATTCCTGGCTTAACCCAAATGGAAAGGTTATTTTACAGCAAATGATTAGCTCCAACCCTTTCACTTTCCTCCCTCCCTCACACACCCACCCTCTGACATCTGTCTGTCTGCAGGTATCAGCAGCCTCTGGCACCGCCTTACCAGTCCACAGTGCCAGGCCCAGCACAGTCTGGTCTCGGGAATCCTTGAGGCTGAAGTCCGGAATAATTTGCAAGTTGTTGGTGGCATGAAGAGCATTAGCTAAATTTTTTAAAAGGAAAAGAACACTTGATTTCACCATCCTATGAATCACATTTAAGGTACTCCAGAGAATACGAGCTCAGTTTCAAACTGACTTACTGATGATTTCTATACAAAGAGAATGGATAAATCTTCTTGTGGGGAGTGGAAGCCCAGACTTTTGATATTCTGGAGTGAAGCTTGTGAGGAAAATGAATGTTTTTAAAGGTTGAAACACTGAATCTTCACAAAAGGAAAACAGACTCCACTATGGAAACACACATAAATTACTTGATGACTGAAAAGAGAATGAAAACAATGCCCTGGCAAAGATTTCCTAACACAAGTGAGTCCTACCATCTTACAGCTCCTGTGAGGCTAAGAAAAAGGCACAGCCTACTCCCTTTCACAAGCACAATAAAAATGCTGGCCTCAACAAGAATGCAGGCAAGAGCAAAACACATTTCAGGGCAGGAAAGAGAAAAACCAGAAGGCGGCCTTCTGAGGGAAATGGGCCTCCCGCCTTCCAGGGGCTTCCCCTGGCCCCCCTTCTGGCTCCTCTCTCAGGGTCCACCTGCCAGGGAGGTGCAGAGGCAGGTGACGGGGTTGACTGGCTCATGGAAGACCTCCGCAGCAGGGTTCTCAAAGACTGCTCACGCCAAGGCAAAGCTCTGTCTGACCCACACCAAAGTGGCCTGGGAAATGCCCTGAAATAAGAGAGGAGTGGTCGGGGGTCCTAACACCTTAACCAAGCAAGTGAAGTAGGCAGGCCTCAGCCTGAAAATGTACAGAGGGAAACACAGGGGCTTGGAGCCAGACTACATGCTTATCTGGTTTGACCTCACAGGGACATCAACTCGGTCATTAACTGCTTAAAACCACTGCTGAAAGGTCACAGTGATGGGCAGGAATTCCCCCTACCCACCTTTCTGCTCCAGGATGACAGACACGACATCTGGATGATTATAGGCAATCGCCAAGTGCAGTGGCGTCTGCAGGTAGACGCTGTCTGTGGAGCTGGGCAGGGATGCACCCTCCTTTGGCGACGGCAGGGCCTCCTCCGTCTGCAGGTTTGGGTTGGCCCCCTGCTGCAGGAGCTCTGTGGTGAGGTTGGCCAGGCCGTGCCGACAGGCTGTGTGCAACGGGGTTTCTCCCTAAAAGGAAGCAAGCGGCCCCAGTCAGAGCACTTTCAGTCACAAAGGGATGAAGACAGACTATGTGTGGAAACTCGGGCCCCCAGCGCCAGGCGCAGCCCTCCGCTCATCCTGTCACCGGCTCCATGACTTCTGCCCCACTCCTCACCATCTCCTCTCCTTCCCTTCCCCTGTGCCGCCATCCTTAGCTCCTTCCATGCCTTTCCAAGCACCTTCCAAACGCCCTGGCTCCCACTCTTCTGCATTTCCACACTTCACTGTTTTTATAACTATTTTGCTAATTATAAAAATCACATATCATCATTAAACAACAACAGACGGCCTCCAGGTGTCACTAAAATAAACACTGTAGACACTGGAAGAGCCTCACACTCACGGCCCCAGAGAAGCAGTGCGGTCGTCAGCCATCACATCTCTTTGACCCCCACCAGCACACCAACACCCTGCTTCTCTGACCAGCTCTTATCAACCTCATCTTGAACTCTGATCAAGCCCTCCTTCGCCTACTTCTTAAAATTAAAAACATTTTAAATTGTTATTATTGGTACTTGATTCAATATTCAAGAGGTACAAGCATACACAGTGAAAAGAAGCTTCCCTTCAAGCCGTGCCCCCACCACCCAATCCTCCTCCCTTAAAGGAACCGTTATTACCAGTTTCAGGTTTATCTCCAGCGATGGAATACTCACAGAAAGACATATACACACGTATGTGTATATGTGTGTGTGAATATATGTATGTGTACACACACGCATGCATGCACACTCACAGGATCTTTTCACCCAAACAAATGGGAACAACTTGAACACATTGCTCTGCACCAGCTCCTATCAAAGTTATACAAACTCATTGTTTAAAGAGTCCAAGAACTCTACACACAAGGCTGGCTTTGAAAAATAGCAAGATCCCACCTCCTCTTTCCTAAAAATATTCTTTTCCAGAGGGAACCTCTTTGAACTCTTTGAGCTGGGCTTTGTAGTCTCCACATTTCTATCTAACATGGTTTTATTACTGCATCTTGATTTTCCGGGTGCGGGATTCCCCGTGGGTCCTACCACTGTGATTTCATCGTGTGATAAGGATTTGGCTCTTTCACTCCCTTCCCTCCACATGCCCCCTTCCCTCCTCACCCCTCCCCACAGAGCCACATCACAATCGGGCTGGGAGCCTCCTCCTCGGGGCTACCTTCTGCTCCAGCCCTTCTTCCTGACATCCTCCCTGGGTGTTCTCATCTCCGCCCACGACATCCCCCAGGATCTACACACAGGGCACACTCAAACCCACTCTAAAACTCTCTCCACCCTGGTTTTGCATCCAGTTCTCCCATTAACTGCAGGATACCCCCATCTGATTGCTTAAAAAGCAGTTCAACCACCACAAAACTGAATCCACTCTCACCACAGCCCACCTAGCCAGTCCTTTCCTTCTCTTCTCGGGTCCGACACAAGTCTTAACACCTCTCCTGCCCTTGCTTCTGAGAGCCACAGAGGCGTGTCCTGTTGACTGTCATTCTACAATTCTTCTGAAATCCAACCTGTTGGGTCCCAATCCAGTATCAGAAGTCAGGAAAGGCCACTGCTTGTCTGGACGATTCCCGTCTGGCTCCAACCTGGACCTTACTGGTACTTCCACCTCGCCAGCTGCCCCCAGCTTTCTCAACTCTAATATGCTTGTACTGCTTTTCTACGTCTATGGACTTTCTCTTCCCACAGGACAAAGTCAAAAGACTTTAAACCAGCGTTCCAGACCCTTCTCTGGTGTCATTCTCACTTGCTCTCAAGTCAAGTCTCCTCTGTGCCGCTGCATCTTAAGGTTTCACCCCATTTTGCTATGAATGGTATCAGAGAAGGAACAACTGGTAGACAATGTGGGCTTAAGGGAGGGTTTTTTAGACTTGAGAGACAGCAGAGCACAGCAGTATGCTACTAGAAATGAACAGTGGGCAGAACTGATGAAACAGGAGACAGACAGAAGCAGAGACACAATGGCAGGAGCAAAGCCAAGAAACCAGCCGCTGGTGCGTACAGGGACGTGCATCCTTCCAGCTGGAGAGCAGGCCTGGTGTGGGTGTAGGTGCAGACAGATTAGTAAATTGCATGGTGGAAACAAATGGTGTGGTCCTCTCCCCTGCGCTTCCAAGACACTCTGGTATGTCTCATACTCCAAGCGTGCCATTTACTGCCTGCCCAGCGCTGCTGAGAGAGAATGCAACTACACATTCAAGTGCCTGAGTCTTAATAGTGGCTCCATTATTTACGAGCCACTTAACTTCTCAAAACCTCAAGGTTCTTTACCCTGAAATGAAGGACTTATAGATGCTGGAAATGTCTCTTCAACACATGCCACTTCTTGGTCCACTGTGAGCACTGAAAGGGATAATAACCTTAAAGCTCCTAGCACAAAGGAGTTGTACAATAAATGTGATCTCAAGCACATCTTCTCTATGTGAAAATAATAAAGTAAAAATAACTATCACTTAGTATCTAATGTCCCAGATGTTATGCTGAAAATTACTTATATAAATCATTTCTTTTTATCTTAACCACACCTTATGAAATCAGTGTTCACCCCACTTTATAGATGAGAACTGAAGTTAAGAAGTAACTTGCCTAAGACTACATATGGCAGGATGGGAAATGGGAAATCTGGTAAATCCAGGAATGTCCAACCCGAAAGGCTATCGTTTCATTGTAACACTGTACCATCTGCCTTAGCTTCAGATAAAGACTAAATAAGCATTCACACAGGAAAACCTCAGCAAATGCGAAATGTTATTTTAAAAAAATTAAGATATATCATGGTAGGTTTCTGTGTCCACGTTTGCCAATCACTATTAGACCATGAAGTCCACAGTACATTGTTTAGGACCTGACATACCACAAATGCTTAAGAAATGGTTGCTAGATAAATCAATCAAACCTGTATTTTAGGATAAAAGCATCTGTTACACTCTGATTTTTTAACAATGCATATGTATTATTTTGACAAAAACTGAAAAATAAATGTATTCTGTTTCATCTACCCGTCCACCACTGCCAATTCTTCCACAGACCAAAACTGCTTCGCCTGGCTGTCCTGCCACACTTACCCACTTGTTTCTGTGGTTGACGTGGGCGCCATTGGTTGCCAGGAAAAGAGCTGCGGCCTCATTTCCTGCTTCAGCTGCCCGCTGCAGTAAGCAATTTCCTAGGAGAAAATGGGCATAGTCACTCTTCTATTTGCATAAAAATAAGGTCAAGTTCCCCGCGGCACCACATCCTGTCCCGCCCCACCACCTTTCACTACTGACAAGTCCACACCGGAAGTAGGTACCATTTAAGTCCACACAGGCCCTCTCTGTATGTGGACACAGAGACTAAGAGGAGCCTGGGTGGAGCAAAGACTTGGTCTGGAAGTCAGAAGACACTCACTCTTACCTGGGTTTGCCACTAGCCACCACCTGGGACCAGAGGTAAGTTATGACTCTTTACCAGGGTTGGTTAGAACACGATTTCTCAACAGCAGTGCTACTGACATCCTGGGCCAGATAATTCTTTGTTGTGAGGAGTTTGCTCTGTACACTGTGTAATATTTAGTGGCACCACCGGCTTCTCCCCACTAGATGCCAGTAGCACTCTCGACCTTACTGCCGCAATGAAATGTCTGCAGATTTGCCAAGTGTCCCTCGGGCGATACGGGTCAGGGAGTCATCTCTGTCTGAGAACCTCTGGGCTAGATGACCATTTTGAAGACACTGTAAGCTGAAGTTCTACTAGAAAATGCTCCTTAAATACCTCACTTTTACTCCTAGAGCCTTAAGTATGTTTGTTCTTGGCTTAGAAATGTTTAGCTTAGCACCATCACTCTTTTCTAAATAAAAATCTAAGAAAGAAAAAAACAAAAAATTTTCTCTTTTCCCCTCAAAACAGTTTTAACCCCCAGAGCAATGTTTTCTCTTTCTATTAAAATCCATTTCCTTTCTGGATAAACACAAAATATTATTTTCTACAGCTATGCTATTTGAAAACTCATATTAAATTAAATACCAGGAGTAAAAATAAGGTGAAGCAACCGACAGAGCACTGCTTTGTTTCCAAGCCGTTCTTTCCTTTTCCCTCAGATAACGTGGTTCCACGCCTACGTGAGAGTCATTCTAATTTAGAGACTCCTAATAAAAAAGTCCCATTTTCACTTCTGAAGTCATTCTGGTACAGACAAGGCATAAATCATACACCTCCCCATAGAACAAAGATGCACCCTGCAACTGCTAAAGCATTTACTGATATGTTGAAAAACAGTGGACTAAGGTTATTACATGTGCATGAAAACTGGAACAAGGAAAAAATAATAATCCTGAACTTGAATTAAAACGCAAGGTATATAATGTAAAATTGACAGAACTAGCAAGAAAAATAGACAAACCCATAATCAAAGCGAACATTTTTAATGTGCCTCCCAGAAACTGACGGATCAAGGAGTCCAAAAGTTAATGAGTAAGCAAATGAGTAAGACCTGAACAGCATAATGAACATGTTGATTTACTGGGCATATAGAGAACGCTACATGCATCTTTCGATTAAAGAATGCACACTCTTTTCAAGCACACGCCAAATTTCTATAAAACCTGTATCTGTACAGTCTGACATTCAACTCTCATACAACACAGAATCAGTCTCTTACATGTCTCACTCTTTGATAACCCAATTAAGTACACTATTTCTACCAAATGATAAAATTTGACCTTACAAGCGAAAATTAGAATTTTGGAAAACTTTTATCTGCAACTCTAAGTTCCTCAAGACTGAAAGATTCTTCTGAGAGATCAGTGGTGATATTAATAAATGTGATTCTAAAATAAATGAACATTTTGAAGATCTGCATAACTCAGTGAACCAAGGCTTTCCAAATGACTAAGGCATGATGTTACAAAATCATGAAGAGAAAAAATCCATTTAAAGCACGAACAGACCATAAATTTTAATATAACAGAGTATAAAAATTTCATTAATATAGTTTCAGATTCCACACTGAAACTAACTTTAGAGAAATTACACCTTGATAAATTTTGCTTGCAGTATCAAAGTAATATATCCACAATTACCTGAAAAGGCTCTTAAAATACGCCTCCCTCTTCTAACTACGTAACCGTGTGAGGGGGTGTACTTTCTTTAATGAAAACAAAATATCTCAAAAGATTGAATACAGATGCAGATATCAGAAACCAGTTAATCTTTCAACTAAATTTTGTTTTGAAAATTATTCTTCATAAAAAATGTTTCATGTTAACATAAAATGATTTGTTGTTATTATTAATTAATATATCTTTTAAAAATTTCTCAGCTTTAATTTCTAACATGGTGAATATCAAAGATACCCTCTTAAACAAAAAGCTCTTTAGGATATAATTTTTAAGAGGGTAAAAAGAGTTCTGAGTTCAAGAAGACTGAAACTCACTGCATTAAATAAATAGAAGTGTTTCAGCCAAAAGGATATAACTTAGAGTCTGGCTAAGTTTTCTGAAGCACAAGATCGGACTTTTACTATAATTAAAATTAAATACAAAATAATTTTGTAAGAGCATGTCATCCAGTTTCTAAATTTCTGGTGAAATCACTGACACAGTATTTCACGGAGTCTCCAGACTGAGCATCGGCACTTCGGGAATCTGTGCTTTACCTGTTACTGTATCAGGTGCATTGGTATTGCTGCCACGCTGAATGAGTCTGGCCGCAAAGCTGTTTTCATCAAATGAGGTCCCATTTACCACGGGGAGGTCTTCGAAGGGGTTTACGGACTGGTCGGAAGACACGGTGATGTACTGCACTGCAAGCCACAGAGCGGTGCTGCCCTCATGGTCCTTCAGCTCTAAATCTAACCTGAAATGAGGAAGCAATGCAAACAGCAAATACAATCGTCTTCTGGCACTCTGTACTGCCAACAGCCACATTCTTTCCCTCTATACTTTTGTGAATGACAATTTTTTATTTTACTTTTACTTAGTAAAGTTGATAGTGCTAAAAGGTATTTTAGGAGAATTATTTTTCACTCACAATCCCACCCTCACAACTGCTTTTTCGTTTCTCCACGTCTCCCTACGTACTGTTTACACTGCAGCAACTGATTGAACACGTATTCGTTCCTGGCCATGATGGACAAGTGTAAGGGAGTCCTGCAAGAAGAAAAAAAGGAGGCATCAACTCAGGACGGGGCAGTTCAGGACTACTCATAGCAGGAGGTGACTAGAATCTGCAACAAGTTCCACATTTCTGCCAACAGTGTCTTTTTGTATCCCTGGCAAACAGTTTTCCAAAACCATGACCAAGCATCAACGAATGAAAAAGGATTAGATTAGATGTTATAATTTATTCAGTAGCCAAACGGACAAGAATCAATAAAAGGAAGAGATACCAAAATACTCTCCAATGAGATCCTGACCCTCACTGAATGTGCACATACTCATGTTTCTAAAACAGTAGTTTCTGCCATAGGAATGCCTATTCTCCCCTACTTACCGTCCACGATTCTGAAAAGAAATTTTTTTCTTCCCATAATTCTCTCTTACACTCAAAACACATTCTGAGTGGCAACAGTGGGAATTGATTAGAATGGCACTGAACTGCTCTCCATGGCTTCACTTTAGCCCTCGTGTGCCCCGAGGAAGACTGCCACCACAGAGCACAGGGGCCCCCGGCTAGCATCTAGCTCAGAGGTTCAGAATGCTACAGTCTATGACGGTTGGGGGGGAAAATTAAGGAATGACCAGAAGAAAAAACAAGAATGCAATTATTTGGTAAATAAGGTAATTATCATATTACATTGAGTTCATGGAGATCCACCTTATTTAAGTAATTTATCCATTACACAAATCTGTTTTCCTATCCTGACGGCTTCACAGTTATTTTCTGAGATGGTTCCTCAAAGGTATAAAATACTGAGCTGCTATGATAAAAAGTGGGTCCCACTTGTGTTGGTGACTCAAGTGGCTTAAGTCCTCTTCCATGCCTCCCACACTGTTGTCCCAAAGACAAGCAGCCCTTTCTTAGACTCTAAACCAAGTATTCCTGCGGAAGGGGCAAAAGGAACATGACAACCACTGTCAACTCTGCAAAGGGTTGTGCTGCGGAAGAAGAGGGCAAACTGTGCAGACACTGTCTAAGGCGGGAGTGTTTATGAGAAGTTAGAATTGGGTTTAATACAGAGAATTTCCCCCAAATTAGACCTCACAGAAATAAAACGGATTGCTTTGAGAGAAACGCACTCCTCTTCTTCAAAGTATCCAACTAACTCTAACAAAGATGCTGGAAGAAGGAGCTGGACTGGATGACCACTCTGGGGATGACAGAAGTTGCTTAAAAATCCAAGGACCTCAGTTACCTAGGATGGAAATGGTTTCCCCAAATGCCTCTGGCTTTAGTCATCTCTCTCATTTGCAAAACAAATCAATGTTTGTGACTTCAATAAAATTCAGACTGAATCATGCTCAACTGAAAAAAACCATGAAGTGCCACCACCTGCTAGTTACATGCCGCCATAAAATAACAATCTGGGAATAGTGCTGAGCGGTCGACCTGCTCCCCAACTGACCTGCCCTTGCTGTCCTGCATGTTGGGGTTGGCACCAGCCTGCAGCAGGGCCTCTGCAATCTGCGCCATCTCGGACATCACATCTGCTGAGTGCTTCTTTGAACTGTATGATGCCACAAGGTGCAATGGTGTCTCCTGGGCACCCAACGTCGCAGCATTGACAAGGGACCCATTCTTAATGAGGAAAGTGGCAGCAAAGAGATCTCCTTGAAAGGAAACAGGAGAAGAAACGGTCACATATGACAACACCTGGGGCCAAGCTACTGTGGCCAATGTCTCCTCAGAAAGGTACCAGTAGCTGTAGACAGAGAAGGTCTCATCACTGGGATCATGGACTTACATACTCGAATTCAGTTTCTGATTATCTGTTGTCATCTGTCCCAACCCCTCACTCCAGTATCACTGCACAGTTTTAAGTAACAGGTTCCTATCCTTCAAAGACCTCTTCTGGTCATCAACTCTCATAAAGGGTTCCAAGATTCCTCCCCAACACAATTTATCTCCCTCTCTCATTAGAGACCACAGCCTGTACCAAAGCAGTTCTTACCCCCAACCTGCTGTACCTGCATACAGGTTCCTGTTTAGAGTAAGACCATGTCCAACTGATTTATTATTATCACAAAGATTCCTTTTATTTTCTCAATCTCATTACATACATACATAACAGTCTTAATAAATTTGCAGTTGAGTATTTGAACAAAGAATCTGTACACATTACTATTTTTAAAAATTCATATGGTAAATTAACTGGTTGCAAAAACAAAGCTTCTAAGGGGGAGGGATAAATTAAGAGTTTGGGATTAACAGATATACTTTACTATATATAAAACAGATAAACAAGGACCTACTATTTATCACAAGGAACCATATTCAGTACAACCATATCTTGTAATAACTTATAATGGAAATGAATCTGAAAAAGAATAGATATATATATGGATAACTGAATCACTTTGCTGGACACCTGAAACTAACACAACTCTGTAAATCAACTGTACTTCAATTTAAAAAAAAACCCCCAAAAAGAACCCCTCGAAGCTTCTAAGTCCCTTCAGTTGCCTTAACTCTCATGTTGTAAGTAGAAAAGTCTACTTAGAACCTACAAATAACACATTAAGACTGAATAACATATAAGTCTGGTATTTCAACAGTTCAAAGTATCACCTTTGACTATTCGGTGCTCTGTATGAAGGGAAAAAACCCTCCCTTGCCATTTTGACAAAAGAATTATGTTTATGTGAAAATATTAAAGGCATGAAATTCTGAAAATAGTTTGTCAGATACCAGCAAAGAAAAGCTGATTTGAGATTGGTTCTGCGAATATACAGTTAAACTCAAAACCAAGCAATCTGATAAGTGGTAATTTAATGTTAAAAATACTGTGGAAAACCAGCTAAAGTATACTTATCAAGTTAATTTGGAAGATGATAGAAATTAAGCAATTAAATTTGTCATAAGATTACTTAAAGCTCAATATTCCTTGGATTTAGTTTCATTCACAATTTAAAACATACAAAAACACTCACTACACATAAAATTAACACTTCTTAAGAAAATAAGGCAAGAATAACAATGCATCACAAGATAACGAATTGTTAACAGAGAAGTCATCACTTATTAAACGCACAATACATGCTTTGGGGCATTCCGTGTACTGCGTGGAAGCAACTGTTTCTGTCAGTGGCCTCCAGATGGCACCGATTAGCTCATGGCTGGGAAGTCAAATCAAACTCATTCTCCCCTGACAGACCCCATGTCTAACTTTGGCGGGTGTGCCAGTGTCACCCCAAGAGCTCTTCTGGGATTCAGAGGTACTTTCTGTAGACCTCCATTTCACCATGGTCTATAGGGTGAATCTTCTGCAAATCATACTCTTTTTCAGCTGAAAGAAGCCCCAAATGCAGGGCAAGCTCCCAGGTTGATTCGCTGGGCCCACGACCATCGACTGTACTTCAATTTGCTGCAGGTTTTAGGATAAACACCAGGTTGTTAAAGGTGCCTTGAACTTCTTTACTATATTCCTCATTGGCAATAGTGCTCTTGCCAGAGCTGTTCCGTTCTTCTCTTCACATCAGGACACTGTCGTGTTTCTCGTTCTGTTAGTATTGTGGATGCACAATCCCCTGAACCACAACTTCCAGGTGGTGATTTCTCTTACAGTCACTTCTGAGAAGTTTTCTTTTATATCCTGCAATATCATTTCATCTTCTTCAACTATACTTCTGCCATCTGAACATTTAGAAAAGGACTTAGGATTTCAGGGGTGGCAAAGCTCTCAAGCCTGTTATCTGTATTCCTCTGCTCATTGTCACCTGAATAATATGTTTCATCTGGTCTTCGGTAGACATGGCATTTCAAAAATCATCTGGCTTTCAGTATTTCCCAGTTGCTCTACTCTTTCTTCCAAGGGACCATCTTGCTGGAGAGTATGAGCTCTGGCACTGAAGTGGCTTGGCCATCACGGGTGCCTCAGATGCTAGTTGGTCCATGTCTGATTTATTTTTGTATCCACCACTCTCTTACAGAAAACAAGCACCAGGGAAATGTTTGGGAAGAAAATGCATTGACTGGTCAAGGCTGCTAGGTTCCACTTTAACAGACTGGCTCTAATTGGGTAACTGAAGACTTCTCTAACCAGACCCTTCTGAAATATTTTCATTCTTCTGTCCCTGATTTTTTCTTGGGGGTTAGGGGAAGGTGCAATCTTTACCAATACCATGTGCAAAGGACCAAAGTTAGATTTCTTTACAAAAAGAAAGCAACAGGTAACATGCACATCAGGGGGCTGGGCTGGGTCAGGCCTTTGCTATCCATATATTCACATATATATCGGGGCTGTCAGTAGGGCCCTGACGTGTAATATGAACAAACCCCAAGGAGATTCAATCTAGGAGAGAATGTGCAGAAACAATACATTAGCAATTGAATAAAATATCCTAGAGAAAGCCACTTACATGCTGCAAGTGAAAGAAAATTTAGAATTATGAGGACAGAGAGCCTTAAAATGACAAATCTGATATATAACACACTGGGGGAGAGGTGGAATGTGATTTCATTACCTTTAAGCTAGGCCAAACTAAGTAATAAATAGAGAGTAGAGCTAAAATAAGATAGATCAATGAAAAACTTACAATACGCTGTACATACGGAAGAAAAACCAGGCAATACGGCACTCAGAAATAAGGCTACAGGAAAACCTATTGATGGCTGGATTCAGATGGATTGTACAATAAATTTTTTTTTATATCTTAAATCCTCTTACAAAGAATCATAGCTTTTAGATTAGATTCACTTTATTAATAAGAGCCAAAGTTGTTTTTTTTAACTTCTACATATAAGCATACATACAATACACACACCCTACACAAAAAATTAGTTAGGAATTTCTGGAAATTGAAAATTGATGATGTTTTACTTTAACAGAAAGTCAGCCTGTGGATATACAACCCAGAGGAAATGGACAACTGACATCAAAAAAAGCAGAACAAAGGGAGAGAACAGAAAATGCCAAAAGCACCATTTATAAAGTTTCTGTCAATAAGAAAACTTCTAATACAATTTTTTGGGGGGGAGGTAATTAGGTTTATTTTTTAATGGAGGTACTGGGGATTGAACCCAGGACCTTGTGCCTGCTAAGCACGCACTCCACCACTGAGCTATACCGTCCCCCTCAGAAAACTTCTAATACATTTTAGAAAGATTTCCACCAAAAATAGTTAAAACAAAAACTGTTTGGTGCTTAAAAGTTCCAGTTACTTCATTACCTCATTCACTGACACTGCCAAGTAAATGAGGCATTACTATAATGACTTGTCCACAATAAAAATATTCACAACGATGTAGTTAATCTTTAAAAAAAAAAATCCACATGTAATTTTTCTTTCAACAAAGCTCCCTGACAGAAGTTTCATTCAGGGAGTGGGCAGCAACCTTCATTACTTAATTAATGAAAACTGTATCTCAGCTGCTCCAGTTGGTGGCCTCATCTGCAAACAGTACATGTAACTGGACAGGAGCATGCTGTTTAACAGACCCACTGACTGAAGTTAATTATCAAGGAAAATGAGCACAAGAAGAGCTAGATTTTTTTTTTAAAGCAAGGACTCATCTTCTTGCCCAGATCCAGCTGCTCAGAGGGGATGGCATCCCTCCGGCCACATGTATGCCTCCTGTGGGCTCTCTCACAGACACCAGCTGCCTGTTTCATTCTTCATACAAACTGATTGGTTATTAGGATGATCACTGACTCTTCTGGTTATAGATTCTAACCAGACCTAAATCTCATATATTAGAAGATCTTCACTCATATTTTAAGAATATTATTCAATTTAATCATTTGGATAGGTCAACAGACTGACAGCTCAAGCTGAAGAAGGAAAAGTGAAAAAAATTCCTACAGAAAGCGAAGCTGGTCAAGGCACTCCAACACAGGGGCAAGGTAAGAGCGCAGGCCGACCCTACCACGCAGTAGTCACCGGGCTGGGCGTGCTACTAACACTGGCCCTCATTCATCCAACAACCAGTAAAGCAGAAATGATTCCCATTTCACAGGTGAGGAATGGTTATGTGACTTGTCCAAGAACAAGTGGAAGAGCCAGGATTCAAATCTCAGTACATCCAGGCTCCAATGCCAGTGCTCCATTCACCACACCATGCCACACTCTCCCAAGCTAGTAGCAATCAGGTTTATCATGCCCACACTGCAGGCTACATGCTCACAAGGCAGGCAACTGATATATTTGGAGCAGAAGATTAAATCATCTGAAAATTAGCATCAAGAATGTATCACCAATTCTTGGCAAGGCTCATAACTAAGCAATCACCGAAATATTTAATAACTCATCAAAGATGTTTTTTCATCACACATAAGAATTTAAGTCCCTAAGAGGAAAGAAACATAACTCTGAGATTGTTTTTTTTAGTAACAAATGTAATTTGTTTCCAAAATAAACAGCTCAGAAACTAAAAAGTATGGGAAAGAATACTTCCCGATGTGGTAGAAATGTTCCCCATGGAACATACGCCCAGCGCTAAGCACCCAATGGCCCTGCACGGTGCAGAGTGGTGCTTGGGAAAAATGCGTCTGCTCTTGACACTCACATACTCAAAAGGACTTCCTTCCCAACGATGAACAAAATTTTCCTCTCCACCAGCCAGCAAGCTTAACACTCTAACACATAGCTTAGAGGGATATTTATATTAAAATCTTTGCCCAAAAAGGGCAAAGCCACAGCTGCAACAGGACCATATTTGAAGTAACTACATTCCAACAACTAGGAGCAACTTGTGAATGGCCAAAGTGTAGCAGAGATAATAGTATAGTAACACAGAACTGGAAGGTTAAATAAACATGATTAAGATGTGGGGAAACCAGTATATTCTGTTCTCGATGTCCATGTGTAAACAAAATGTGGCCATGGCCAAGTACCTCAATCAATCCATCTATCCCTCTGTAGAAGGAAGGCTCTGAGACATGTGAGAGCTTGCATTCCATACTGGAACTGCACCCCTACACAGCTTCTCACTCAGCCAAAAAAAATGACTACTGCCAAGTAGAGTCACGCAGAATCCATTTGGGAGTTAAGAATTATTAAGGCCACAGAAAAAAAAAACAAAAGACTAATACTTTTTTTTTCCTTGAAAAGTTAATTCATTGAGATGAAAACCTTCTGATCTTAATTCTATCACTTCCAGAGCCTTCCCACTACTGACAAAACGCTCACAAGATAGCTGCAACTTCAAAATACTTTCCTAGAGCAAAATGAAACTTTATCACTTTGCCATGATAGATGAGACATCTAGTCCGTAAAAGTGAAAACTCTGAATCCAAGGATACGTTTGAGTATTGTGTTTTTGAGACTTTCCCTCTCTCATAGTAACCGATACAAGTGAAGTCTTCCTAGCACAATTCCTGGAGAAAGCAATGCACTGAATAAGCAAATAACACATTAATTGCTTACAAGTAAAGGGTACTTCTTCAGAAAGTACCATCTTTCTAGCCTTCTTCTGGGGGTCCTGTTGACAAGGAAAAGCCTAACCAACCGGGCATAAGCCAACAGTTCTTCAGTCTCTCCTCTGACCCACTGACCACAAATTCTAAATCCTGCAGCCTGCAAGCATAGACTCAAGAAGACTTTGAGAATTTGTGGGACAGAGTCAGCATCTTCAAAAGTTACTTGGATAAAAGTAAAATTGTCCACAGAGAAAAATATAAAACACACTCTTCCTACCTCTTTGGATTCCTTTATGTAACAAGCTCCAGCCATTCTTGTCCACCATGTCCACATCAGCTTTGTGACTAACCAGTGTGCTGGCAATACTCTCCAGTCGCCGCGAAAGGGCTAGATCTAAAGCAAGATCTCCATTATGATCCAATTCATTCAGCTTCCCAGGGAGCTGCACAGAGAAATCTGTAAATTAGTATCCGGCGAGTAGAGAATACAACCAAATCGCTCCCACCCTGACTCTTAAATACCATCTCACAGAAATGGCAAATTTTAGTCCTATGACACTGCTTACTCCCCAAATGCAACTGAATTCGCAAACTTCTCTCAGGCCTCCTCAAGGTACATGCTGTTCATGGGGCCCAGAACTAATGGGGATCACAGAGCAGGTGCAAACACCATAGAAGACAATGCAAGGGGGAAATGCAGACAATGCCGTAGGAACACAAGTGCCAGAGCAGAGGGTCAGAGAGCTTGATGGGAAACAGCTGACGCTTTCATGAAAGACTGTGACCTATCTAATTCCTCCTAGCAGTTTAACGTCTCCCCAAACCCTGGACACCCAGGATAAAACATACTGCACACCCATCTGTCAAGAGCAACTACAGTTCTTCTAAGGTAGCGTGGGAGGCAGAACAACAGCCCCCAAAGATGTCCATGTCCTAATCCCCGGAACTTGTGAGCTGTCACGTCACACAATGAAAGGCACTATGCAGATGTGACTAAGGTTAAGGAGCCTGAGATGGGTGGAGTATCCTGGACTATCCAGGCGGGTCCAATCTCTCTAATTACATGAGTCCTTAAAAGTGAAAGAGTAAGTCAGACAGATGTCACATGAGAAGGACTTGATCCGCCATTACTGGCTTTGAAGATGGAGGAAGGGGGCCACAGACTAAAGAATGTGGTGGCCTCTGGAAGTTGAGAATGGACCTGACGAAGCTTACAGCCAGGAAGAAAATGGGGATGTTGGGCCTATAAACACAAGGAACTGAATTGTGCCAACAGCTCAAACAAACAGGCCTCCCTCGAGCCTCCAGAAAGGAACACAGCCTGCCAACATCTTGATTTTTAAATGGGTGATGAGTACTGGATTTCCAATGTACAAAACTATAAGATAATAAATTTGTGTTGTTTTAGGCC